AATGTATGGGGAAAAGATTTCGATGAAACAACAAAAAATACAATAGCGAGAACAAAAACGACAAAAAATTAAACAGAGGGTAACCCTAGACGAAAATCGTTTCTAATTTTGATAACGATGATGGCGATTATGAATTATGAGGGTGACGTTAGCGATTGCGTTACCGAGACAAAAGCAATATTGGTTATGAAATTTTGATGAAAATTCTATGAAAAAGTTCTTCACCTCGTCTGCCTCTGCCATCTTTTTTTCAAACAATTCCACTCCCATTGATTCCTTAAATATCTTGAATCCCATATTCTTCCCTGTTGAAATACACATACAACTCCCAAAATTAGTTCAAATCGTTTACACTGGAAATAATAACATTTAGAGACAGCAAGAGAGGATAAATATGCTCTCTTTGAGACAGTTTTTTTTCTCTACTTACATGGTTCTCGTTCTTCGCTTACTTCAATCGTCGGCCTCTTAATAGTTCCAATTACTTTGTTCTTCTTCCTCTTTGAAGGAATAATCCCCATCTTTACCCGGATATTCTGCTTTTATGTTATAAGTAAAAAAGATAACATTAGCTAATTTGTCATGATCTGGCTCAGTCCATGTTCCGTGGAATGAAGGGCAAAATAAAAGACGACAAACACGTTGCATGTTTACTGGTGCATTGACTTTTTCGTCCAGCGGAACATCACCGATAAAATTGTTCAAAACAGGAATCTATTGTCGTGACGCGAGAAAGGAGAAAAAGCATTTGCAAGGCTAATTCGCCATGAAGCGTCAGGAAATAGCGCATAATTGATACTGAAACAACTTAAACAATATTTAAACGTTTCTTCATACAATAATAATAATAATACCATCAGTTTTTTTCATTTGCATTCGCAATTTGAGCTCTTTGAACGTAATTTATGATTAAATTTGCTTACTATGGCTAAAGCGACGCAGTAGTTCGCCCTCACGACTCGTATTCGACTATAAAACTGATTCCGTTGTAATTTTCAAAACACATTGTAAGTTACAAGGACTTTAAAACTCATTTCGTCAGGTGGAGTCGGCTAAGCCTTGGGTCTCTCTTTTGAGTCATCTCATCTCGTTTCGTTTAACGGCCTGGTGATACATTGCTTCGCTGATGAAATGAAACAATTTATTTATCGGACGACGGGAGCTGTCCGTGAGTTAAGACGAAATGTGCAGAGTACAGTGTCAAAATGAAGAGGGTACGAATTGCTCATAAGCAAGGTTAAAATCATTTGAGCTCGTGACGATAGACTAGTTTGTCTTGAAACATTCTACAGGACCCTTCGGCGACACATGCAAGTCGCAGCGCTTAACACGTACCTTTGAAACGTTTTCACCGTGTAGATCTTGTTGCTAAATTGTGTTTCTTTTTTTTTGTTTATTCCGTCATGTCTTTGAATCTTTACACCCTCGTCTTTGGTTGTTTCCGTCACGTCATTTAAGATAAATACTGAAAATACGTGTTTCCTAGCGATAGAGACCCTCAGTAAACAAACCTGTTTAGTATGCCCTCGAGGAGCTTAATCAACTCTGCGTCTTTCTTTAGATCATTGAACCTTGACTAATTGCTCTCTTGTAAACATTCAAAAGTAAGATGGAACGCATTATTGAAGCTTAACACTCCTATAAAGACAAACCACAATACAAATTGATACAACTTAAAAAAATTTTCTCTGTCACGTTATCTTGCATTTCTTTTTCAAAATGCTCTTGCAGCAGTTGTGATAGCATAGCTTATGCTCTCTTGGTGCAATATTATCCGCGAATAAACTTTAAATATAAGTGTACTGTATTAGCATTTGCATTCGCTTGACTGTTTATGTTGCGTTGATATGGTAATACTGTTGTTTATGACGCAGTCCTCGGAATCTTTTCTTTGGATAACTCTATAGTTATGCCCACGTACTGACGTCTGACGAGGACAATGAAGGCAGCGCGAGTTCTCTGATGATAACATATCAGTTATGTAATGAAGGACACTACTGTGTACCATGTGGGTGTTGTTGATGGCAACGGAACGTGCTATTCACATAATGCCCACGCTCAACTTCTTTCAGAGATTTCTAAATTATTCTCATTGCATAAAGTCCATTCAGTAATGCTGAGTAGCATTTCATACACAATTAAAACGGTTTATGAACTGAGTTGATCGAAGACCCAATCTATTTTGATTTTTGAACTTTTTATGCACTCTATTTGACCCAGTGCAGCCTCATCAATTTTCCTTTAACAAAGCCAAGAAAATTTTGAAAAGTTGCGTTGCTTTGATTCATTTGATTGTTGGTTGCACCCCAACGCGATGGAAAAATTTTAGATTTTTATCATGATTACCTCCACGGGGGGCTCAATTTTTTCCGGGTTTTTCTTTGATATCACTGATTCTCTCTAATATCTTTACTCCCTTGGAAAAACTAAGAAGAGAATGAATCTTGTAGTTTTTTTTTTCAGAAGTTGTCTTTAAAGACTATCTTTCAACTTACATACAACAGAGCCATACTAACTCTACGTAAAATCACTTACAATAATTACGATACTAACAATGTACTCGTTACTTACAATACTACCCCCCAGTTTTTCTATATATATTTATCAATACTCATGTTTAAGACTACTTAAAAATGATTTTTTTTTCTAATACTAGCTTGCAATACAAATTATACGATTCCTACTCCACTTGCATTACGAATTTTAAATCAATAATTAGCTTACTCTACATACTAAACAATATTTACTTACACCAGGTGAGCCTATTACAATTTATGAGAGGTAGACTAGAACACAACACAGACACAATGCAGGTACTTCAGTTACATTTCGGAGCTCAGGTTCGTTACCAAAAAGAAAAAAAGAAGGTAATGCTGACTTTGAATGAGCTAACTACAATTTTTAAAATTTTTTTGAACCTCGTAGTTGATATAGGGAAAATCTTCTCAATTCTTTCAAAAGTTGTTTCGGCACGTATTGGGATGCAATCGACGTACTCCAGCGGAAGTTGTGCTGACCTTATAAACAATGCATATCTTCTGTTTACGTTTTGTAGTTCTCCAATACTAGTGAATGACAGAATGGTAAATCAATTCATTCTGAAACTTATGACCACATTTCACCGATGTGTCCACCATTTACGGGGGATCTGTTATTCACTTCAAGTGTATCACACTAATCGATTGCGTATTCCAGAAAATTATTGTAAATTTAATACATGATTAGCTGGCCCACAGACTATTATCGTATTGAGTTCATGTAGCTTTTTCTCTAAATTAGCTGTTAGTGAAAGTGCGAACGAGGAGGTGGAGTGGGGAGGAGATAGCGAAAAAAAAAGTGAGTGCTCATGGAATAGAAAAACAATAAGAGGGAGAAGGGAACAGCGACAGGGTGCACTGAAATGAAAATGGTAAAATATGGAATGGAATGTGTGGATCGTGGAGTAGGAGGTAAAAAAAAAAACAAGGAAAAGGAAACAGTAAGAAATCACTGGAACAAGAAAAGGAAACGGCGATCGAGCAAAGAGGATCAGCGGCTTTTTCAACGCGGAAGCTGAATTTTCCTGAGGGGCTTTGACCTTTTTTGCGAACATGTTGACTTCTTTTCTACTCAGTTCCCCTGTTGAGGTGATAACCAGACGGTGTGCGCGCACTGATGACGTTGCATCATCGTCGTAAAAGAAACAGGAAGTCATATGCATGTTGTCGTGGTCGGGTGAACATCTTTGATGACAGAGAAAAAATAGCGTGAATATACATGGAATGCAATGGGGATTCATCGTTTGTTGTCATTCCTTCGAAAGTTTAAAAGTGTTGATGGGCCTGCGCGACTCCTGTCATTCCACCGCGACGAATTCGTTCCTAGGAAGGAACTGACCAGATTCATAAAGAATTGAAACTGCAGAAATGGCAACAGTTACACTCTCAGCCGATAGCTTTGTAAATAATATCAAATCCACAAATTACATTTCTAGACAAGATTATTTCACAGGGAATCGACCCTTGACACGCAAACGCATAACATAGACCTTTTAGCCCACGAACTCTTTTTTTTCGTGTCATTCACCAGGCGTCGGAATACGAAGTCCGTAAAAGAAGAAGCGCTACGCCTCTTGAGAACTAATTCGTCACGATCCATGTTTAATATAAACGCACAAAGTTTCAAAATACGCTCAAAGAATAGAGGATATCTAGATGAAGGTTTTGAGAAAAGTATCTTGAGTTATTTTTTGCGAGATAGAAAGTACACTTAACAAAAACAAATTACATAGAAAATATTACCTTTTGTAACACAATCTCATCTGGCTTATCCTAATAAGCGCTTAAATTGAAGGAAGCAGATTTAAAAGCGCTAGCGAATGGCAGGAGTTGCTCTGGCCAGTCAAACACCTTTCTTAAACGCTTGACTGGCTTACCGGGCGTGTCTACTTGAGCAATGTTGAGTTACTCATTCGGTTAAGTGACTCCTTTCATTGCTGATTCAATTGTCTTTCTTTGATTAAGATAGTAGATTTAGCATACAATACTGGCGATTATTTGATTTACTTTTATTAAAGAAAGTAAAATTACAATACGATTAAGTAGATATAGGAAATGTCCCTACAATAGTGACGTTATGTAACGCAATACACTACACACACACCAACAAGCCTTTTTGCGGCCTTAGCCGGTCTCGAACATCAGCACTTAAAATGAATAAAACACGAGTACCGTTGGAGAGCGTTTGGTCAGAGCTGTTAAAGAAGGATCAAAGCAAATTAAAAATCAGTGAATGTGTTTGTCCTTGAGAACGATTGAATACGCGACAAATACGTACAGAGAACACCTATAAACATTCAGAATAAATCAAATATAATTTACCCGTGGTGAAAGGAAAAAGGAACACCCCAACTTATTTGATTTCTGCCACTTTCACCACCATGTTGAAAATAACGCTACCACAATGCAACGCAATCGGAGTGCATTCAGTGTATCCCAGAGGGAAAATATCTCATCACTATAACTAGTTTGATTTGGATCTGTCATACACGAGTTCCTCGATTATGATCATTAAAATAATTGCCTAAACGATAACAGCATTTTACAAATATTGGTGGAATGGTAAAATTAACCAAAAAGGAAGCAGATGATGTCGCTAGTATCACTAGAAAATTGCCAAATATTCTTCTGGTTAGCTCTTCCGTTATTTAACATTTACATTTTCTACAATAAAAGAAGCAGTATAAACTTTGTTTCCTATCTGGTTATGGACATAAATATAGATTAACCCCTCAGTAACAACGAAGTTTTGGTATGGTAGCTTTCTTCTATGATGTAGTTAGTCATTTATTCGACAAGTATTCTGGCCATTCTGTTCTCTTTTGTGGTATCTCTAAATGGCTATACTGTTTGGTGTTCTCTCTGGCAGCAGATATTCGTAAGGGACCTCTAACCGTTTATTTCTTTCCTTTATTGCGCTGGAAATCTCATTGAGCTTTCCTTGAAAGCGTAGAATTGCTTCCAATGCAGCGTTGTCGGTGAATAGGCCGTCCGTATAGTCACCAAGGAAACGCTTGGGGAGAAAAAAAACGGATGATTTTTTAGTAAGGGAAGGTAGGAAGAGTTATCCATAAGTCAGCACGTCAGCTTTGTCCGATAAAGAGGTCGATGAGACTTTTAGTCTCCCTCCGACCAGGAAGATAAATGGGTTCCAAGGGTCGTTAACTGTGAGTTAAACCCTTTAAAATGCTGGGGGTGACCTTTGATTGACATGCCTCATCTTATCCTAGTCTCGTGGCAACTCCTAATTGTTTCTTGAAGCTACCGTAACCTGAACAATCTTTGGTAACAGTGAGTCTCGTGTTCAAACTTGAATTCAACCAATATCTAGCACCATTCACAATAATGGATACTTAAATATGTCGCATTTTGATCAATTTGGCTATCTTCCCCACATCCCCTGGTCATATTTTTTGTATCAGGCTGACCTGAATTAAAATTACCTCGTCTGGAAAGATGCGTGTCAAATCATACACTGTTGCTATGGTTACTCCCGCCTGATGCTTTGTTGGTAAACATTTCATGACATCTTTTATGGTTACAACTCCCTTCCTTGTGGGAGGCGGCTGTCGCATCAGAGCGGGAGCGTTTGGCGGGAAACCAAAAGTATCCATTTGAGAAAAATTCACAGCCGCGTGTTGGCACGAGCAGGTGAAGATTATGATAGTCAGCAGATGTGTCAGCTCTGGGATGCTTTTAACCGATACAGGGAAGCCATGACATTTCTCCCCGTTACGCACAGGATAACCATTGTTGTGGAGATCCAGAATCCACGCTTGGAGCTCTGTGTCCTGTGAAGAGTTGTTAAACCATTATTTCAAAAGACCTGGTTGAAACAGTTGGAATCGTTGCTTTTGCATTAATATCAAGATCTGTAAGATATATTCGCTGAGAATTAATGGCTGACGATGCACCAATAAGCTATATCCCAACGAGCAACGACTCTCAGATACACGAGTCGTCTAGAACTTCTTAGTGTTTAGAGTGGATATGTTTGCATGCGGTTTTAAGAAAATTGCTTAAAGATATATGAAGGATGAGTACGTCCAGGGTTTTAACCTAATGACGTACAAGAAGAACACTGGAATATAAAGAGCATTCCCGAGAACTTTTTTTTTAACCTCAGAGGGACACTGGGATGTAACACAAACACAATACTTGCCATTTCAATGTCATGATCAGAATGGTAGTAAACTGATAGAATGTCTTTGATGAAATCGCCGATGGCCTGCCACAGACGTAAGGCGTCGTCTCGATAGTGGAAGCCAGGAAGCTTATTTGCATCAAAAACCCCTCTCTCTTTTAACACTTTGGGAAGGTCATACGATAACCAGCTTAAGCTTTTGTAATACTTCTTCATAAGAGCTATGTGACCTGGGGATAAGAAGACACCATGCACTGTAAAATAAATAATCTTTAAATTTCCTCAGCTAAAGAGTAGCCTCATCCACGTCTATAAAGCAAAACTGGCGATCATACACTGCACTCATTTAGTCTTTGGCCACTATCCTTTTGTATGGCATTAAGGCAAAAGACTGGACGCAACCTGGTTGAGTGGTATGAACCCTGAATAGAAAAGCCAGAATTCCACTGGTCTTCCTCTCTCCAATTTAAGGGTTAACACCCATAATATTTTCATTTAAATATGTTTCATTGATTTGCTCTTCTGCGCCAGTCCCAGTACTAAGAACACCATTGAGGGAAAATAGATCCTAAATTTTTGTAACCATGTACACTTCAACCACTTTTTACGTATAAATATCATACTTGTGAACTGCGGTTTTAGAAATGAAAATGTAAGCGATCTTCGCAGTGATGAACATTACTTAAGCAGTAATAAAACTAACGCCTGAAAAAAATTCAGAAGATCTGAAAAAAAAATTCTCAAAAATAATTTTAATATATTCACAGTCATTGATTCATCACTTCGCGGGTGTACTACGAACCAACATAAAAAGCAGCTCCTAGTTGGTAGTGCACCGCACCGGTATCGCAGAGGTCATGGGTTCACATCTCGTACAAGCCTGAATTTTTTCAGGCATTATTTTCACTACTGCTTCAGTAATGTTTACGAAGGTCGTTTTCATATTTAATGTGCACTTCATTGGCCTTACCTCCACCACCCAGGCTAAGCGTGTTGTCCGCCACACCTCCGGCAGGAATAAGTCTCTCTCTTCCAAGCGTGTTGATGGCCAGAACTCCTCTCACGTGAGGGGACAATAATTTCCACAAGGGGTGGAGTGCTGGCAATTGCCTCCTGCTGGCAAGAGCGACAGGCTCCATGAAAAGATGAGTACGAAGTAGATGGGTTATCATCTGTTAATGCAAAGGAAATTTCGATCAAATTCTATAAGAAATATCGAGAGAAATATTGATACATTGATTCAAAAGGGTAGTATTGTCTTGCTAGGATTCGAAATACAGGACTGACATTTTAAGACTTACTTGATGCCATTGTGAGTCAGCATTGCGAAGCCACATTTTGGCGTAGGTCCAGTCTAGCTCAGAATCATTTGGGGTCCATATTGGGTTTGTCTCACTTGGCTCTTGATGGAACTGAATTGCTATTGGCACTACATCCCCACTACCTCGAACATAGAACAAACCTAAAGATGCAGACGTGTAGCGCCTTTCTAGTTTTGAATCGTTTTGGCCATAATGTGGAATGTCGTCAAGAATCTCGTAATCTACCATGTACACACGGCCATCCTGAAAATGATACAGTGATAAAAGCCTTTATTTAATGTTCCATACAAACAACTCTTATTGCCGACATCTTCCTCGGAAAGTAATTGTTCCTCTCTAGAAAAGGGATAGTTTTCTGGTGAATTGCAAGCTAGAGTGAGAAATGCTCTCAAAAAATCCATTGGAGTATATAATTCAATTTGTTTATTTTGCTTCCGGATCCTCTTAGAAAGGTTTTTTTTTCCGACACCACAAAATTAAATTTTAGTTGGGGAAGCCTTTGGTCATTCAACAATTTGCAATTGAGTGCATGTCAAAAGTGATCCGTGATTGCTTTGGTTTTACTTAACCCTGCTCTGTGATTGGTCCAGAAGACTTGCGCCATCCTTTCAACCTATAAGATGTAAAACTAAAAACTTGATAACTCACGTTTTTCCGCACTTCAAGCAATTTGCTTCTTTTCACTCTTAGGTCCCATTGGCTAATGATGATGAAACCTTTGTTATGATTGGTTGAGGGAATTACTTTTCGATTAAGTGACAGGTATAGGGACACTCAATTGAAAACTGCTGTACTTCTCTACGTTACAGATGTTTACTGTCTTGTTCCCCCTAAAAGTTCCTGAGTTCTTGACATTTATCTAGATATTTGGTACTAACGATCGAATTTGATACTCAATGAAGAGTAGAGATCCGTACCTTTATTGCGTTTTGCAGTGTATCACCCGCATCTAGGAGATTGCCAACCAACTCTTGTGTCACGGGAAAGTTGGAGGGAAGTTTTGAGCATCGCATGATCGTGTCAGGATTGCAGCCGTTAAGGAACTGTGCTCCGTAGAAACGGTCATCTTGCCAGCGCTTGGAGGCCAGAGGAACCTCTCCAACAAAAGAGACGAACGCCTACAAAGTAGTGTTTGTTAGCATCTGAAAATGAGAATGTTCAAGATCTGAAATTGGGCATCAATTCTGTAGTGTTAATCTGTTACCTTCTTGAAATCATGAAAATCTTCCCACGACTCAAGCATGTTCAGCAATTTAACCAGCCCTAGGTTGATTAACGCTTTTCGCTTTGCCTGGTAGAGGTCATCGATTGCTTCTTCTGTAAATCGTACGTCTTTTGGAAGTGTCCTCACGCTCTCGGATTTGATAAACCCTGGAAATCCGTCAAAATTGGGATCATCTCCCCACTGGTATATTTCTAGCCGCTTTTGAACCTCTAGGCGTCGTTGCTTTTTCAGTACCTCGTGTTGTTCATCTGTTATCAACTTTGCTAAAAGGGACAAAATTGCACATCATGAAAGTTAGTTTTAAATTGTCTCATGAGAAAAGAAAGGGATGAGTCAAGATGAATTTCACCTTTAGAAATTCGTGCATAACTCTAAATCTTTGGCTTCTTCGTGTGGACTATCCAGCTATTTTGAAATTACAAAAAGGACAAAAGTTCACCGGTATTTAGGGAAGCTCAACTAAGTTGTAGCACACGTTGTCAATGCAAAGTGACGCAAATGCAATTGCAACTCTGTAATTGCCGATACAAAAGTTACTTTATACAACAACTCTCCAGTAACAAAGACCCAACCGACCATGTAAAGTCTGGTCATTTAGCTTTTCTTTCGCATGAAGAATTTTAATTCTGACCATACGCTTTGGGCTCCGCTCAGTCGTGTGACACTTATGCAGAAGAAAGTAGTCTTCTACCTACCTTTCCCTTCAAAGAAAACTGCCTCTTGCTGCACCCATCCGTAGCATGGAAATTCGTAAACTGTTTGACTGTTTGAGCTGCAATTGATCTCAACCTTGTCAACGAACCAATCACTGGAGCGATGGAATCCGACACCCTGGTTATTCTCGAGTTTTATAATTAAAGGCTCGCCAACATCCTCTGCATTAATGATGTAAGTGTCTTCCTGTCCTTTCTGAAAGTTATTGCGATACCATTTTTCTAGGGTAACTGGCTTTGTTCTTCCCTTAGTCCCTAGAAACAGATTTGGTCTTTAGCCCAAGTACCTTAATGTGACCTTCTTTTCTAAGAATCCTTAAGGTATAAAGCAGCTAAAATAAATAGCCCGTTGTAAACTGACTCGTTATTGGTATAGGGACATTATCCTGACAATAAAATTAAAGAATGAAATCATAGGACTACTTTGTTATTTGACACTACTGGTATCAGTAACAGTCAACTCGTTACGGTGATACGCTACGTGTAAAATCCTTTTAGTGTTGCAGACATTACACGTAGAGAGCTTCCGAAAATAAGAATGAAGAGAAGAAGAATTTTGAGGAAGACCCATGCTTTAGACAACTTTGCAATCGATTAAGGCCGCTATACCATCAATCATGGTTTTCACTGGCGACCCGCACACAAATGCTAAAGTATTTATTTCCCAGAATAATAACACTGAGGAGACTCAGTAAGGTTAAGTGCAAAGACAAATGATTTGAATTGCCTTGTATGGTTTTTGCTGGTTGTCATGTTATTGTTATTGATCATGCCGATATATTCCACGGTTAAGAAAAGAATGAGAGATAATGTTGTGCATGATTGCGCTTGTATTTGCGGGGCAAATGAAAACGTATTGCTGCCATCTTGTACATCGTACTTTTGGAAGGCTTACCTGTAATCGTCAAAGCAACTTTTGCATCAGTTCCTGCTCCCTTACGATTTCCTGTTTTCACCTTGACGCAATAACTCACTTCGGATAGCATCTGCTCTCTCGATACCTTTTTACGAGGCCTGTTTGAACTCATCATATTCGATGTGGGATAAATTTTCGACCTCAAGTAAGCAATGGAGTTGTAGTCGTAAATTGTGTCAGCAGGAGGAATGCCCAGCGATAGGGGGCGATGTTCCAATGAATAACGAGTGCGCTCTACTATCTCTATTGGCAACACTGACGTAAGAGTGACATCAGCAAGATCCAACCAGGGATGTGTTTTTTGATCCCAAGCCCTGGCTGCGTGCAAAATTAGATGTGAGTCATCCGGTTTTATTTCGTGCAGTTGTATTTGAAGCTTGTATTTTACTTCCCCTTCAGCAATCTGATTCATGAATTCTGGGATTAAGTAACTCTCGGGTCTCTTTTCGTCTTCCCATCTGGCAGGCACCCTAGAACGAAGGAAGTTTCGTCTGTTTAGAACGTCCCATTTGGTTTTGATTGAGTACTTTCTCGTGAACAATTCATCTTGATTTTTCATCAAATTAGCAATAAAACAGACCAGCAGACAAAAACACACCAAATGATCAACAGAACAAGAGTACAAGAGACCGATACACCACCAAATCAACGAACATAGTCCCAAGTGTTCCCTTAATTTCTTCCATGCTTTGTCTGAGAGGCTGCACCTCGAAGCATGCATATCATTAATAATACTCAATGTTATATGAAAAAAGGTAGTATAAACTTGTCATCGGCAAATCGGGCTGGGGAGAGTTGTTGCTGGACCTACAGTATTGACCATCTCGGCTGTTATCACTGCTATCTGATCATGAAACTCTCAAGCGATGATCATATCCTTGGACGATCATGGAAGGAAATTGTTAATACAAAAAAATTACCATGGTTTCCGTTGGTCGTATTCTGTCATCAAACCAGTCTCCTCTCTGTCATCTGCGGGAACGAGGCGAAATTTTGCGTAACGTGGTACACCATCTTTTGCTTTGTATTCAAACGCCATCCACGAGTAATACCGCTGATCAGTAAACGACTTAGGAGCTCGTCGGAAAACTGCTATGGCTAAGTGGAAGCTGAGATAAAGAGGCAAAGTTATTAGCCAGTTAAAAACGTCTAAAGAGTCATTATAGGCATCTTGTAAGACATTTTTTTCTTTATATAATTTTACAGAGCGTAGTCTCTTTTACTGCACCTTTGAATGAGCATAATTCCGTTTTCACTCTCCCATGAAATCGAGAACTGGTCGATTTAACCCGATTTATATCGTATGAAAGTCAATATTTTCCAATATAAACATGTTATAAAATATAAATAAAAGTAAGATACACAAAAGCCTCTGAGCATTCTATGTCTGATATGTAATGTAATTTAAAAAAATTTTGACGGACTTACTTCCATGGATCCTCCAAGCAGAAAGCTTTGAATACTTTTGGACCCCCAGCCAATGCTGTCAACATTCTATCAAAACTAACTATGTTCCAAAAAGCAGCCTCTTCACCCGTATGCATCATCAAATCGAACGGCGAGTCGAAATCATTGTCCGCAAACTTCAGAGACACCGCCCTTACGTCTAATTGAGTATCATCCGTTCGCACGAGGTTGGAATGGCGGAGGCGGACTGGGAATACGTGCCCCACTTTGAAGAATTCGTGCTCGGGAAGAAGAGGGTTTTCTACCACTGTTACGGTTCCTATAGCCCCAACACCTTTAGCGTGGGTCCCACGTTGACGAGTAATCAGAGTTTTTAAGGCGAAACGGGTTTTGTACTTTTTGACGTATCGAGCCATTTGTGATGCACTGAGGGGTCCAGGCTCAGGTGGAGGCTAATAAAAACACATAAAATTAAGTCGTTATTAAAGTTGGGATATATTACCGTATAACGACAAAGAAAGAACCCTTCGTCTACTTTGTTGGAGCAGTCTGCAAATCAATTTATGCAAGAGATCATAATCTCTTAATTAAGGCTGATAACTGACTTCAGCCGCTGTTTCAAGACGTCACTAGCTGCAAGAGAAAATCTCTTCAATATCTTTTTCAACAAATAGTGTTTAGTTTATTTGCCCCTGTTTGCTATCATTTGTCAATGTTCTGTCTCCTTTAGTTTGTCCACACCTTATGCCAACACCTGTTTTATTTTAAGCCGACACCGCCAAAATCCTTTTTCTAAAATACACTTTTACATAAGAGAAATCCAAATGAAGTCTAACTTTTTATTTTGGGTTAGCAGCCTTGGCTCTAAATAGAAGCCCCTGGTCGGAAAGTACTATATAAGCCGACCAATCAGCGACGGAGTAGAGCTATTTCATTTAAAGTCACGGATTACAAAGAGACAGCCTGCACCCCGTGGCTATTTGAAGATTTTTTCATCAAGGTGTCCCGAAATTTCAGTTTGCATTGTTTTCTATGGATAATACACTGCTGGGTTCGCCTGTGGGAATTAACATTTTCCCTGATCTTGAATGCATCAGAAATAGACATACCTCGTCGGCCTCTTTCATTTTCTTGAAATATAACTCATCTCCCATTCTTTCTCGGTAAAGTTTAAATCCCATGTTTTCCCCTATGGATTCAAAACACAAGATTGTTATGAACTCAACATTCCACATCCTGTGCTCCCACTTGAAGCCGGAATATATTATCATTTTCGTCGACTCACCAACATTCTTCTAAGATCATAAATTTAACCGCTTTTCAGGATCGCGCCGAGTCTCTCTCCATTCTTACAGTGGCTGGAAAGAGAGAGATCCTGACGACCAGTACGGACAAGCCTGAGGCAAATAGGCCCTCTGTTGTAGAAGCCTAGATACCTCTAACCCGTCCAAAAACTCGGAGAAACTATCAGCTCTACGACTTTTAAAACTTATATTCAGGCTAAGTGACTCTAAGTTATACTCACATTCGGTAAGTTCTTCTCTGCTTCCAACAATTGATTTTTTCGTGAAGCCGTGTATCACCTTGAGTTTCTTTGAATTTACTCCTCCCATATTAAAGCCGCAAATCAAATCTATTGAAAGACAAAGAGGAGACAATAGCAGTGAAAAGGTTTACATCTGGGGAAAACTCTTCACAAATACAATGTCCGGATACATTTTAAAACGAAAACGCTGCCTCGGCCAGGGTAGAAATAACCATAAGCGTTAACATTTTTGAGGTCTTTTTTCGAGGGAAGTCGCTGAAAACTGCGAAAATGAAACAAAAATGAGAAATGGGTGTATATAAGGGATAACTTGAACCAGAAGCTAGTGATTTTCTCAATAAAATCTCCCGAACCTGGTCTTCAGTTTTAACGATAACCCTATCCGAAATCCCAAGCCTAAATCATGTTGACAACATCTATTAAGTTTAACTATAATTGCAGTTAGCCTTAGACCAAACGGCTTATTCAGTACATTTCCTGTTCTTCCATATATTAACATTTAAGCAACAGACAACTCTCATAATGTTATCGTTGTCCAGGCCCAACCGCGCACCACGCTTCTCGATTAATTAAATGCCCGAGGCTAGCGTGGGATCGTAAAGAAGGTGCGTGAAGGAGACTCATCCAAGACTAAAAATCCTCCGTTTGAACTTTAAAATTTAGGTGAAAAGCATCTTAGGTCACGTGAAGTCCTCTTCCTTAGCCAGGATATTGACGTACAGGTAATGTGAGCTAAGAGGGCTCTCTTTACTTCATCATATCAAGTTGATTATATCAAGTTGCGTTTCCATAATGTCTTCACGTAGAAGCAACAGTGGGTCACAATGTTGAAATGTTTAACGTAAGATGAAGATAGCTGTGAAGCTTCTGAGGGTAAAATTAAATCTGCGGAGAGTCTTTTTAGGGTAATCTGTAGTCATCTAGCACACTTACGAGAGAATGTAGAATTTGAAAGAAATGCTTGGCATTTCCAAATATTGAGTTGCTGTGTTTCAAATTCAACTGACACAAGCATTTGAATAATTATAAGCTTACAGCTAGGTAGCTCTTAATTTCTCTTTTAAAATAATAAACATCTAACGGAGCGGGTTTGCTTTCGACAGCTTTAGCACTCACTCTTGAGTGACATTAAGCGAATTTGCATTTGCTAATGACTTCGATATATTGACCCCTAAGCTTTCAGTCCTAAAATAATTCATAGATGTAACAGCCAATTGTTCCGTTGCTATTATGAAGAAAGCGGAAGCCTCATAGGCGCATAAATAAACCACGTCTTTACGTGCTCAAACATTCTGTAAATAGAGTTGAGTTGATGCGCAAGAAACTATTGATTGCTTGTTTACCATCCGCTTGTGAGAAAGTGAAAAACTTCTGTCACGCTATGAGCCCTGCACCATCTTGTACTGGTAGCTGAACAGAACGCATCAGCACATCGATTTGCGTTTACTAAGCTTGTCATTAATTGTATTGTATTGTATTCGAATAAACATTTTATGAAAAATAACACGACTCGCCATTGAATGCTAACTGCCCAAAGTGAAAAGTGGCAGACAAAACACTAGCTTTCAGGGTGACGATACAATCTAATGCATCAGCACGGCTACAGGAACGAAATGTTTGGCCGCAGTTGACATAAAAGCTAGAGGGTGACTATCAGAACTTTGACTCGATTGTGATTAAATTTCAATGCAATTTATGACATGATGAATGTGGTACATTCCTACCTCAGTTGCCTCGGTGTTGATATATTGAGCCACTTCTGATCTAACTGTGAAATTAGTGGTTTGTAGCGTCTTCTGATGACTCTCGCGATACGCCTTTCGTTATGTAAGTTTGATGACGTCAAGCTTGGTTAAAGCTTTCCGATTTCCGGTCGACCGTCGAGAAGAAAGGAAAATTTTCCCAAAGTGCTGAGGCCTTTGTTAGACTGCCGTCCAATAATCGAAGACGGGTTTAAATAGATGTTTCACTTCGACGTTTTTTTGGAGATGATTTGTTTAAAGTTATTGAGGTTACTCACTGAAACAAACAAAATATAAAGCTCATTTGTGAACGGTCTTCGAAGCGATTACTCTTGTTTGGTCAAAATTTGCCGAAATAACACTGTGTAAGATATTTAACTGTGACAAATTGGAACTAACGTCTTTAGGAACTAGTTCTGAGACGAAGCCACCTTCCCGGTGATGATCCCTTAAATCAGCGTGGCTGGTCATGCCGTGTTTGTCACGATATATCGGTGTTTTTTTATGTCAATACTGATAACATCAAAGTTCAGTGATATCGTCACAAAAGTGTTATTTTGGGGTAAGAAAAACATTTAAGAAGATTGAAAAAGGAAGAGAGGAACGTTCAGACGCTTACATCGCACAGTGATCCATTATTTTTCTTGGCCAAACATGGTTTAAGCACACCGACTATAATGTTTCCTACTGGGTAAAATATTGGGTGTGGGCAGTCGAGTATATTCTAATCTGTTTCCTGGGGAAGATATCGTGTGTAGGGCAGGACAGAAGGAAATACAATTCAGTCATTGAACAATTAAAGAGATCAATGTAACTTCCGAAGGAAATGCAAAGGAAAAAAAAAAAAAAAGAACAAGGGTGATGTTTACATATTCTACCATTAGACATTCTACCATTCTGTATAGTATCTATCTACAAGATGTTGAAAATAAAGTGAAAACGTTATGTCGATCTAGCTAACATCAAAGGTATTTAAAAGTAGCAGTTCAAAAACTTGCTGTTCACTGACATCTTTTAGCGTCAACCAGAAGAGGGTCAAAAAATAAGTTTAAAAACCTGAACTGCCATAAAAAGATATCCATGAAGCAAGAATTTATTATGAGGTAAAACAATTATTATCCAAAACAACCTGAGCAGTAAAACGTAAAAACGCACTTTGAAAACTGCTAGGAAATGTAGATAACAAAAGCCTTATTACATATTTAGTCAATCGTTGGCCGATAATCTAAACCAGCGAAAACAGAATTATTTTAAAGAAAAATTTAATCACAAAAATATTTTTCTGTATTAGGGTCTATGTCTTACTAAGGTGTTGGGAAATGAATGGAAATAAAACATTGTCGTATGCCATTCAGCAAAACTATAAAAGTTAGTTGATTACGACTATTCCCTTAATAACCTTACCTTTTAATAAGAGTATTTTAATTTTAGCACGCCACGTTCACATCTCTGTTGTTCAAGGTGACCACACAATATAAATAAATACAAACATCCCGAGCCCACGCGCTTTTCAAGAGACGCGAGCTTGGGATGCCTGTGGTATGAAAAACCTTTATTTCAATCCTCCGCACGAAATTTAGTGATATCATACAGTCATCGCGGAATTAGTTTTACTATATGAGCAATAGTCTTTTGGGCGAGTCAAAGTTATTAGATATTTGTCCATATATAGTATCTTTTCCGAGAAACGAAGAGATTTATAGAGCTATGTTCAAGAAAAGGTATGAGCCAGTGTATACGAGAATCTCTTCAAGGTTAATGGAAGCTGGTGAAATTTTTTCCTTCAAATATTCTTTCTGCGCGTGGGATCGGCTAGACAAAGTATTGACGACAACTTTGCGTCAAAACTTTTACTGCGTGGGGTTTTGTGTTGGATCATTTGAAAAAACAAATTTGTCGTTAGTGCAACGTCAACACCGTCTAACATCGTGAAATAAACTTTAAAGGAATATTTTTCTTTATTTACTGGATTTTTTTGAAATGGAAAATATCACTTGATGTACATCAGAAATGTCGTCATTTTGACGGAGAAACCCTATATTTATCATAATTATTTGTTCCTTGTTAATTTTTTTCTTCACATAATAACTGACTTTTCATCCTCGTAAAATTCTGCCATCTTGAACAAAGCTTTCAAGGCTTTATCTAAAATTAGTGCAGAAAGCCAATTAATCAGTTCTTTTGGTAGCGTAAGGATAAGCCCTTGCGTAGAATAAACATACAACGTTTTAACATGGACACCATCTTTGTAGTCAGAATCAAGTAGAGTTTATTGGTGAGGAACTCGTAAATAGTACGCATGAATGAGCAGCTTTACGCTTTGCAATTCATCGTATTCGACTAGAATGTGTCGTAAGGAAAATAATACTCGTTTTTGAATGCTTACAGTCAAGGCTTAAAGCGGCAGACGACACCCCAGCTGCCGTTTTCCTGTGCAAAAGATATGGCTACAGTTCGCTAAGAAAGTTAAATATAACTGTTCTCGTTAAAGACGAGCTTTGATACTACTTACGCACAATTTCATTAACGTTTCAATTTGACAATTCCAACGTAATGAGAGGTATAATCATAACTCTGTATACCTACCTTAGTCGTCACAGTGTTAAGCTCTTTTGCCTCAAGTGGTTTACACGTAAAATGAGTGATTTTAGCGCGTCGTGATGTACACAGTAATGATTGTAAAGCCACGTGATTTCATATTCCTTATTACCTAACCTCTGACGTGAAAGTCGTTTTGTCGCCCGTCATTCAGTTCAGCGTCCGCGGGGATATTTAATAACGTCACCAGGGACATGATGCCAGTTGCGTCAAGATATATTGAGTAATTGTTTTGAACAGTTCAATAACATTCAAATAAAATCTTTAGAAAAACCAGTTTGTTACGGTGGCTAAACCTCTAACATGGGAGTATACCAATAAAGAACGAATATATTGCCTATGTTAAAAATAATCGGTGTGTAGCCAAGCATATGAGATTGTGTCACTTCTAGGCTTACTAAAAACACGCGTGAAAGAACACACAAAGGCCATAGCAACATTGGATGAAAACTCTTTGTTGGCCAAACACCATATGCTTCACAGTCACCGAATAGATTTGGGGAGTGTTGAAATTGTTGACAGGTCATCGGCGTGGCGACAGACTAATTCTTGAAGCTTGGCGTTCCATGCGAGATAGAAACGCCATAAACGAACATATAACGCCACCAAACATATACAATAACATTAAGAATTTTTAGAGCCATTCAAAATACTCTAGGGACTATTATTGCATTTAAAAAATTCCTTCGAGATTTAGTTTTATCACACATCGTGGACATATACCAAGCAGGACTCTACATTTGCATTTTTATATTTGCCGAAGAAGGCAACAGTAGTAGCCGAAACGTCCAGAACAATATACTTTTTAGCCAGTGTCAACATTTTTAGGATTCCTTTTACCAATATTGCTAATATTACCCCCACATAACCGTCGAACAGTGGTCCAATACCTCAATAATCCTACAACCGATTGCGTCTTATAAATTTCAGTGCGTGCGTTCAGTGCAGGCTGATTGGCCGATTTGATCAATTGTCAGTGGCCCGCCGAATCCTTACACGTGCACGGTAACAGAGAAGCGAAAAAAAAAAAAAATAGCGGATAGAGGAAATTCAAGCCGTAAAAGCTGATGATAAGTTTTCTTCAGTCGAAGCTTTCCTCTAGGGTAGACCGAGATATCCAAGATGTTTTATCATATGCCTAGAAGTGGCACAATCTCTAACAATTTGGGTCGGCTTTGTCAATTTAAAACCATTATTTATGACCACATCGAAGTCAAATGCATGGGAATTACGTCGTGTTTTTTCACGGGTGCCTGGTACATGTAAATCCGCAGACTTGTCCTTTTTACTCAAAATGATCTCACCCTGGGAAGACCGCCACACTTAAGATCGAAACTCAGAGATGAAGGTTTAAGTCCTGATCAGTTCATGGCATAATCCTTAATTTTTGGTAGAACCCTTTCCACTTTCACCGCTTCTTTCCACCACTATAGTACCAGTCCACATTCAGAGAAACTTGACAACGTTCTTAACCCTTTAACTCCCAAGATTTAATCAGTAATTCTCCTTACTGTCTCCCATATAGTTCTTGTGATGTTAGTTTGGAGAATTTGGTATTGGATCAACTAATAATCCCCCTAATTAACATTTTTCTTTATTCTCATCACTTGTCTGCTTGATATTGTATCGATATTGTAAGGAGAAATTCTGTCTTGGTCACTTGTGGGAGTTAAAGGATTAGTTAGTTTGCTCGACCGTTGCTCATGAAATGTGTTTTACTTTTGTAATTTTATTCTTACTTTATAGAAACGGACATATAATGTCCATTTTATTTACAGTAATATGCTATGTGTGCATATAAGAACCACATTCAATACCTCTAATCAAAAAATGATTCAGATACCTTATCAAGATAGATACATAAGAACACTTGAAGTAACTTAGGGGAAAAAACGTAGCAAAAGAACGCAGAAAGGAGCTTAAAAATCGAAGATAAATACAAAAAAAACAATTAAAAAAACGAATATGGAAGCGATTCTCGCAGTTACGAACACTGCTGAAGTAGAAGTGAAAATTAGGCCTGAAAAAAATTCAGACCCGTACGGGATTTGAATCCATGACCTTGACGTTACCGGTGCAGCGCAGTGCAGCGGTGCAGCGCTGAGCTACTAAGCCAACTGACAGCTTGTTATTATGTTGGTTGCAAATAAACTCTCGAAGTCGGCTTGTTGGGCAGTTGGTAGAGCGCTGACTGGTATCGTAGGGGCCTGAATTTTTTTCAGGCCTTATTTTCATTACTACTTAGTAGTGTTCATAACTTCGAGGATCGCTTCCATATTCGTTTCTTCAACCGTAGTTGACATATACGATTTTCATATATCTACAGTCAGATAAAAAAAATACCATGCAAAGGTTCATGCTCGGCCGTTGTAAAGTTTAAATGTTATGTATATTTTCATAATTAATCAGGGCCGTTACACGACAAATCCTTGCTTCTGTTATGTAACTCTACATGCACAGCCATGTGAATAAGGCTTAGAAACATTTATGCAATGATTCCTTGTATATGAAAAGCGAAAGTTTAGACTCAGAGGCTTTATCATCAGATTTTCTCTCTTCCACTAGATTTGTTAATTGATAGCTTTTCAGTTTCTCAACAGGGGAGGAGCTACGATCCTGTTACTACTGCTTCACTCGCTTTTTAATTATTTTACCCTCACCAATGTCTTATCATAAATATCATCAAAATAACACGAGACTGACTATCATGATTTTTCTAAGGATGGATAGTTTTTAGCTATTTTGTTCCAAAATGAATTCAATGCTTTCATCAAGAGAGAAAATGCAGTTCTAGACGCTTTTGATTCCCAAGGTGCTTTTCGACATACGCAACTTTTTCCAGTACAGCCAGGGTCACAAACAGTTCCTTTAGGACAGCAATGCCAGTTATCCCCACAATCCATTGCATCCTTTAACATACAACAGCCAACGAAAGAATTGGAATAACCGTTTAGGCAGCAGGTTGTGTTTCCAGGACAACCCGTCAGGTTGTGTATGTTTTTCCCTTTTTTTCCTGTTTTTGGTACACAATAGAGTGAACCAGGAGGAGCATCGTTTTGCTTGGAAACTGTCGAGAATAAAATGATCTTTTTTAGCGACTGTGTGTTTATTTTTTGGCTGTCTGATATCCTGATTTTTCAATTAGGAGAATGTTGTTTAAATACTTTTGTGTCAGCTTTTCGTATGCCTGTTTTTTGATACGGGTAATAATTTAATTGGTGATGAAATATATAAAGTCGTGAGGTGAACTTGTACGATGCGAACTCGAAATGGGTGAGACCTCTGTAAGCTGGAGAACGCCCACGAAGATCGTCAATGTGAGAAGCGTAAACAGGAATGAAAGTCTTCATCGGAGGGTAATGAACTAAAGTGGAGTATCGCTCTGACGAAGGGCTAACGCTCGAAACGTCAGCTTTTTTACCCTTTACGGTGGCTAATTTACGTTTTCAACCCAGTTGTTAACACTAAATTACCTGCTATACTCTCCCACCGACGCAGCACCACAGTTTCTTTAGAAACTTACCCCTTTATTAAAGTGAGTACAGTGGACCAAGACGAGAAATTTGGATTTCTACATACTGTAATGATGAAATATCCAGTTAACACTATTATCCCGAATTGCAATCCCCAAAATTGTGGAAAAGAATTATCCCATATTTGAATGGAGCTGAAAGCAGTTACTCGATCCATATGCTTTTACGTTAGTTTGATTGGTTAGAATGGGATGAATAGTTAGATCTACTTGGCCATTTATATTTTTTCCTTAAAGTTCTTTCCAACACTGATATGCTAAAATTGCCAGGTTTGAACTGTCCTATCAAAGGCAGCCCTCATCTGAAAGATTAAACATGTTAATTTTACACGTTGCTATCCACAAAATTCTCTGACATCTTTCTTATTTTTAAAAATCATGGACTAAATTTGTAAATATTAATGTTTGATACCTTTTTTCTTTCTTTTCTTTGTTCGTTTCAACAAAGACTTGAATCCTTGACTGATCTTTTCAGCCAATAAAAAGTACCCTTCACCACTGAGATGCTAGTGAGAGAAAAGGTCTTTCTCAATAATATTTTAAAGTACAAATTTCTCAAGGAAGTGCCGCTTTCCACAGGTGTTTCAGTTACAAAGGTAGTAAGTTGAAGAGGGCCACCTACGTCAGGAAGGCAACCCTAATAAAAAGGGACCAACCCATAGACCTGATAAGCTTGTATTTAAGCAGAACCCAGCCTATTTTCCACATATGTTTTGTATCTATGCGATGCAAAGTTGTTAAAAAAGAATAACAATTATTTAGAGCATATGTACACTGTCGGCCATTTGCATCACTTACTACATTTGGCTGATCCAGAAATAGACTGCATTTTTTGGTCAGTCCACCACATTTTTCGGTTAAAGCGTGATATACGTCTATTACTTTAATGGATTTATCATCCTTCATAACTCTGTAAGACCAAGAAAGAAAAGAGAGTTTGTGAACAATCCCTTCAAATATCCTTTGTCGATCGAATTGAATTATCACTGCAAATTTACTTACACCTTCCGAGAGGATGATTTACTCTCGCCAACCCGTATTGCATATCGCACGATGCGTGGAGTTAATAGTACTCACATAATACCCTAACAGTCAAAACATTAATAGTTCTTTGTGTGTTAGTGACAAAAAACACAAGCTATTTTCAACTCACATACTTTTTTGCAGCTTTGTTGTACTGTCTAAGCCTCTGGTCCATCTTTTTACTAAATGGGACGGGTGTGGAGGTCGCGAAGCCAACCATAGCGCCTGTTTTTAATAAAGCCGACTTGATTTTATTCAGATTTTTTTTGTATTCTTTGAGAGGGACATACTTAAAAGAAGAAAAAAAAACGACATCGATTTGAGTTGAACTGTGATGAATACTTACTACTCAATTATACGTGAAATCAAGAAGACATTCGCACCATTGATCATTTTTTTGATACTTATAAGGAGAGACACTTTTGTTCCTCACAACTAACCTTATCATTGTAATTAATGGAATATTTTGGCAATGCCATCTGTTTTTGTTGATTCTGTTTTTATCGTTTAGATGTAATCGACGTTTTTTGTATAGCAAAGGAGGTAAACACTATTACGCAAACGTGAAGGAAATTTCAAAACCACCCAAGCACCACTAAGAACTCATTAAAGTATTAACAAAAAGTAGTTTGGATGAAATATTATAATTCGATAAATTTTCAACCCCCAAACTGTCCCGCTCCTTCAGCCAGGTATGAAGTGTTGTAAGTAAAAAACATGTTAATATTTACTCTCATCATACTGCTTTCCTGAACGATGGTGATTTCATAAATAAAGTGCAATAAATACAAAATAACAAAAATAAAAAACAAACAAACAAACAAAAATTCCATTTTTGGAATGACGATTTGGGTAAAGTAGAAAATATCTCACTAACCTCGTTATGATAATCGCAGCAGTCAATATCATGAATTCCAGCATTAAATATTATGGCGTCATACTGAACAGGTTCGTAGAAACTTGAGGATAGAAACATGGGTAAACACTGAAGCATATAGCGCGTGTCCAAGCTTCCTCCATCACCAGACCATGGAGCGTGATAGACAGTACAGTCTCCATCGAGCAATTCAACAACATAATCCATATAACTAAAAGGGGAAACAAAGTGTAAATTGAAGTTAACACTACGGTTTTGTTTTGCTCATTATAAATTTAACTGCAACCATTATGATAATATAAACTCTTTTCTCAATCCTCATCATTGGTGCAGAAGCTAACAGTGAAAGTTAAGCAATTAAACATCGTTTCCAGCGAGAAATTTCGTAGAATGTGACTCCTCGAAAGACGATCATTTCCCGCCGTTTTGAAAACGAGAATAGGCGATATCTACTTTCCTTAACACAAAAGGAAAGGTTACAAAGGGTTACTCTCTGCTACACCTGACGTAACCTCCCCCCCCCCCGTTTCCCTACCGAGTGCATCATAGTGAATGATAAATCAATTGTGACACCATCTGAAAAATCTTCAATCCTGCTCTTTCGCAATTTTTGTGTATTTCTGTCGAAATTCTTTGGCTAATTTTGTAAGCGAAAGGGTCAGTAACTCATGCCATCCTGAAACTCTCCTAACTCATGCTCATGCTCACCCAAAATTACTCGTGAGAAAAACAATGATTTTACTTTCTCCCTCGATTCAACTCTACCAACTGCAATTCCGATCAACCGGATAATTATCTGTTAAAAGCCGAGGTTTTGGAGAAATGTAGCAGCCAAAGAAATCTGAGCTTTCTCAGAATTTGAGGAGCACTGGTGAGGGTGGTGCACTTTCATTGAAAATAGCATCGGAATTGGAAGAAAGAAGAACCGGCACTATTTATCGTGGCGGCATCTTAAAGTTACCTATCTTAATAAGAAGGTGGATGAATTAACTCCATATTATATCGACCCCTTACACAATAATGTTACTCTTTATTGTATTCATTCTCCTCCTCACCACACCCACTCGTCAATTAGTAACCTTTCATTTAAGCGTACCCTAAACTGATCGAGTCACCCATGATGAGACATTTCTTATCCGCGGTCTCCGATGATTTTCCTGTCCAATGTATGGGACCTGGACGACATATTCTCTCCGCAGTAGTGACATTTGAGGGTATGGAATCTAAAAGTCTTAAATAACATCAATTATTTTAGTGAGACACCTCGAAGCCATTGTCTGAGAGGGTATCTAGAGTTACTGTGACGATAACGATAACTGAAGTGATAAAAAAAAGTTATAGCACAGAGTCTTGCCTAAAATTTCGTCAACAGCTCTTAATGCAAAATACTTAACCACGCCCCAAAATACTACTCGGTGAGAAAAAGATGTAGACACAGATATTTTCAATACCTACTTTTCCATAGCTCTTAGAACAGTCCATTTTCCTAGCCTACCTGCAGGTGAAATCGGACAAAGTAGTTTTCATTTCTTATGTCACGAAATAAACTTAATTATAAAATTAAATATTTCGAAGCTGGTAGACTGAAACTAGCTATTAAGTGCCCTAGGGTTGATGTGATGAAAATGATCGCTAAAATTCAGCTAGGGAACTCCCAGACCGAACTAAATTTAGGGCCATCGCGTAGGATATCCACAGCTAAGTTCTCATTCCTATTGTTATAATAATTATCATTATTATCATCATTATTATTATTATTATTATTATTATTATTATTAATATTACTATGACTTTTGTTTTGTGTATTTTGTTTCTATCGTTGACTCAGTGTGACTGACCAAGTCAATGGGGTGTCTATATTGGTCTGGTAGGTCAACATGACTGCAATTCCCTTGAAAACCCTGAACGCTTAGGTACAAAAAGAACTTAATAAAAATTAAAAACCATAAGGGAGTGCACAGCCGTTTCTATTATTTAACTTTGCTAAAATCAAAAGAAATACCTTCAACGTCGTTGCTGATGTGAATCACTTTGTGTCCTTTAAAGCTATTAGTACTCATCTCTTTTGTTTTATAATCTTTTCTGTCGATCTTTCCCCTGTTTGAAGGCTTTGAATCTTTCGGAGAAGATATGACTAAAAGGGTTTTGTTTTTTTCCGAACTCCTTGCAAAGTCAACAAGATGGCGTTTAATAGTATGAATAAGGGGAAGAAGATTTGAAGTAGCAGTCTTTGCAGCAATTCTGGGCTCGATAGAGTTAATAATCGAAAAGGCCTCTGTGAAGTCTGTTGTTGCTTTGAGTTTCTCTAATAGGAAAGATAAAAGAATTAACGAAAATTAAATGAAAATTAAACGAAAATTAAACGAAAATTAAACGAAAATTAAACGAAAATTAAACGAAAATTCATCTATAATCTACTGAGATCGAGTTTAAAGTATCAAAAAATCTACAAGACTTGAATGCATACACTGAACGCTGATTTCACTGAAGACTTTGCAATTTAAATAAAACAAATCTCTCTCTCAAATCCACTTGACATGCTACAAATTTCAGAAGACTAAATCAGTGTTGTAACCAGATGCGTCACTTAAATTAGTGCTGGACGAAAACTTGCTAAATAACTAACTATAACTTATAATTATAGAATTCATCTAATGTAAAGATTTCCTAAGTAATTCACTGCTCCAAGAAGATCATACTGTTTGTCAAAACGAAGGTAATGACTGAACCAACAAGTATACAAAATCAGCACATCGTTGCACACCTGCTGAAGATGAATGTTTCACATGTACGAGGACCATCACAGAGACCAAGAGAATCTTCAACATCCATAGATACAGATTGATAAAGGTTTTACTATTCAAATAACGAAAGAGGTACCCATTGCCATTCCTCATGGCCGAAGAAATTCAAACTTTAAATTCAGATCATCATTGCATCGTGATCCATACGGCAGGTGGTTGAGGTTTCCCACCTGCAGTAGGTAAATATCACTGTTGTCTGTCTCAAAAACTCGGATTGCAAATTCTGATTAGCAATGCAGTGATCGATGTGAAGTCAAGAGCAGTCAACTTATCCGTGTCCGTCAGTTGCGTTCATGTCTAGGAGTGTGCGCTCAAGAAACCTTACTTTAGAAATGAACGTTTGCACACGAACTAAGTGTTTATACAGTATTACCTGAGAGTGTTGCTGCCCTTTCGAGGGTTCACCGGGTATAGAATCACCTCAGCAATCCCTTTTGGTAGTCGGCTTACATTCTACATCGTGCACGGATTTTAACGTACATTTTAAGCACACATCACTCCATTACACTGGTAATTTTTTCCTAAGGTGTGCATTGCTTTGCTAGCCTGGAGGTAATTTGCAAAAGTGTTGTTTATCCCATATTAGATGGAGAGGGAAAAACAGTCACCTAAGTGGAGGATATTTCCGGATTGACGAAACGATTTCTCCAATGCGAAGAGCTCAGAAATGAAAACTGTGGTTTGATTTGGTGGTATTGAAGAAGAGTAAAATAAAACTGGCCTTTTCTCGTACACTTCTGAGTGTAATTTAAGCCTCAAACTGAAGTGTTAATGGCGGGAGATCGTGGGATCATCGTATGTAACCTTTTTTTAACACCTTTTAATGTCTTAATTTGACATTCACTCAAATTTGTGAGCAAAACTTGCGCATCAGACGATGACATTTTCCGCCAGCGTAGCAAATCCAACCTTTCTTCGATACTTTGTCCTTGTTAAGCAAGTTCCTGAGAATTTGTCAAGCCTCCTTACAGTTGTTTATTACCATTTACACTCCTGGGTGGATAGTAACACTGGAAGAGCAATAGGTTGGGATCAAAATAATTCATCTTTTTCGAAACACGATAAAATAAGCTTGCCATAGATGGAAACCTGGACACACAATTCAAAGTAAGCAGCATTGGAAGAAAATGTAGTTACTTCAAGGCAGAAGATGCTCAGGTGCGAAGAACGAAGGAAAGAATTGGTCATAAAGAAGTTTTAGGAAAGAAAATGACAAGAGAGGGAGACGTTGATTAAAGTGTTTTAAGTTGTGAACTACATCATACGAAGAATTTCCTCCACGCGATCATTTCTATCAGTCAAAAGTTTCTACTGATGGTATCAGATCAGGGAGAAAAAGAAGAATTTTCATTTAGAAGAGACTGTTGTTAACGAAAATTCTCCCTTTCCCATCTTCGGGAGGCAAATCCTAACATGGCAGCTACCCATTGGGTGAAATTATTCAACAAATATGCCGGAAAATGGTTATAGAAATGTCGGTAGAAATTATCAATGCGGACAGATGAGCTATTTCTTAAGATTCACGAAGAATAAAAGGGAAATTGTTCATTTTATTCACATGATCTCTCCACTGATATATAGTGAGTTCGTTATATTTTACATTGTGCGTAAGATGACAGACGTAATGCTTCCCCGCCCACAAAAGTTCTATGAACTTTCTTAAATGGAGTTAATGTCAGTTCACATTCTCATGACTTTTTTGCTCCATAATCTTCCGCAATTTTTAAGGCGCGACTGGCTTTTTCAGCGGCTCTTCGAGCCAGCAGCATCATGTCTTCAGCTGCAGCTGCGGCTCGTTTTGCTTCCTGGGCAGCGGTCATTGCTGCTTCCTCAGCAGCATGCGCTAGAGATTTTCCTATGAGTACAAATACATTATCTTTTAGAACAAAAAATGTCAAGAAATTTTAAGTCTATGTCTACAATAGGCGTTTGGACGAGAGCAAAAAGACAAACAAACAAAGCCAAGATACATAAATTTAAACAAATAATGTAGCGGGAATTAGTTTTAAAACTCATAGTTTAGGTAAAAAAATACATGTCACTCATTACCAGTCCTCTTGTTTGGACAGTTATGCTCATCCTTGTTGTCATTGCAATCGCTGATGTTGTCACACACCCAGGTCAGCGGTAGGCATTTCTCTCCCTCGTCGCAGGATAACTTATTTGACTCACATGCTTTAGATTTTAAATTCGTAAAAATAAGAGTGAGTGTTAACTCAAAGATTTACACCAAGTGATATCTGGGAATTTTGTTTTGAATTGGCAACGGCTATATGGTTTGGAGAATCACTGAAAATGATATTAAAGTGAATTATGATAATTTTTGAGATATTGTATTGAAAGAAAAGAAATTTAGATGGTGATACAGAGAAAACTAGACATTTTAGAAGAGGAATAAGTAGGTCTTTTCCTCTGGCGGGTGGTCTGGTGACTAAGAAAGACAGGCTTAGAAGGGTGCAAATATAAAGCTGACACATCATGGAATAACAGTCGTAAATAAGGAAAACAAAGGTCACGACTCAATGGTGGATATACATATCGAACTGATTTAAAAAAAAGTCTTTCAAAGGGCCAGAATCACGTTCGCACAGAATCTTAAAACAACTACAAAAATACAATCGGCCACTGATTGGCAACGGTCAAACATACAAAAACATCGTCCCCGCAGTCACCTACCTGGTTTTAGAGGACAGTTTTTCTCATCTGTGCCATCGTGGCAATCGCTCATGTCATCACACAACGAACTCATAAGGAGACATTTTTGACCTTCGTCACATGAGTAAGTATTTCTCGGGCATCCTGGATATAAATTAGTACAAATAAAAGATGAGTCTAATTTGTGACCTTCTTTCTATCTGATTCAAGAATGAATTCACTTACCACTGATTCCGGATCTCCTGGTGCCGTCTATGATGTCTTGAGCCTCACTGATTTCCTTGGCATGAACTGTGAAATGTAATTTCCCCAATATTATAGTATACAGCCATAGAAAAAAAAAAAAAAGAAAAAGAAGAAACTCGCAGATATCAAATTAGCCATGAAGAAGATTAGAATGAGGACAGGACGCTGAAAGACTGCAAATTTTTGCAGTCCTCGACGTTGTATCTTCTTTTTTTAACTCAGTAGTTGCGAGCATAGATGGAATTACCCTTCTTGCTTTCAACCTTTTACTCCTTTGTTCACTACCTCCTTTCGTTACATAATTATCCATTCTAATACCTAGAGAGCAATTTTTTCTACATACCGTTCCTTTAATGAATTGAACAGTTATTGGAATTTAAACTTACTGTAGGAAGGAATGCTGGTTTCGTTTCCTGTTAAGCAATTCCGCTCATCGAGTTTATCGTCACAGTCATGAACTCCATCACAGATCCATTTTAACGGTATGCACTTATTCCCTCCTTCACATCTATAGCGATTATTTGCACAAGCCCCTGTAATTTGCACAAACAAAAAAAGGTTAATCGAGGTTAGAACAAAAGGCCAAAAAGTCGAACAGACATTTTTTTGGAATTCTTCCACGAAAAGGGTTGATAGGCAGGACGTAGCCAGCTTTTTGACTTGTTATAAGCTTTTTCCCGAAGAAATTTCAATTTGTTTTTTACATTGCAAGAGTGAGATTATAAAATTCATCTAGGGAGAAAATTGAAAGCCCGGGCCAACGGGTCCATAGGCTGGCTTCACCCCTACTGGAGAAGATCATTTTGAAATTTTTGAGAGTTATTTTATATTCAGCATTATTTGATCCATAAGATTTACCTTTTCCAGGATTTTCAGTATATTGTCTATTCCTAACGTAGGGCTTGGCTTCTAAAAAAAAAGCGAAGGAAAGCTAAGTTCTTTGAAACAGGTCAAAACGAAACGACATAAACCGTTAGGAGCATGAGTAAGAGGTGATAAATTTAATGTCGTCAAACACTTGTAATTATTTTTTAATTTAAGTTAATTGTGCTTGTATTTTACCTGATGACGCATTTGTCCTTTACGTATAAACTTATGAAATTTTTCTGCATTGTTTTACTATTTGTCTATCTAATTATTTTTATTGGCCAAAATGGAAGGGCTAAAGCTTTCTCAGTCCCTGCTCTGCGCTGTCCCTGTCAGAAGGGTTGCTGGAGAGGGAGTGGCAGTTCCTTCTGATTGTTTTCTTTCATAAACTGGTGAGTTTTTATGAAAAGCAGAGTTGACGGTGGTGTTATAAAGTAGATTTGGAATCATCACCTGTGATTTCTATAACAGCAATAATCACTGCGAAGGTCACTATGGCCCAATGCATCATCGATACTGATCTATAACAACCTAAGCAAAAACAAGAGCAATTATTTCTTCATAAAACGATATGTGAACGGTAGCTCCTTCCAGAACTTTATTTCCATCAAGACAACTATACCACATACGAAAACCACGCAAAATAAAAGCTTCGGAAATTGCTCGATATGAAAAAATTAGGAGTAATCCTCTGATTCTATATAACGAGAATTTCTCATTGTCAGGTAAAGAATCATCTGATTGGTAGACAAAGAAATATGCCATGAAAGGCTTGTCAAGGTATGCTTCCACACTGAGGACGTCTGAGACCTCACTGTAGCCGGAGGTCATCTGGTACTCTCCCTAAGAGTCGAACATGTACAGAGGAACTTGCAAAGGTCGAGTTTTTCTAGATATACAAATGTAGATGACAGGTTTTCAGGTTTTCTTCGTGGAAGTAAGTAGTGAACAATATTTCCTTGGCAACTACAATGACCAAGGATAACTTGCTAGTACAAAGGGGGTTCAGTTGCTTTCCATTTCATGGATTGAAAATTGGTTCGACAGGTATTCCTCTTGTAACTGTCAATAATAATTAAATGCATACTGATCACCTAACAATATCGCAAAACATCATATGCTTCTGAGAAACATACTGGACATTGATGACAGCTGCAGCAACTGAATTCGCAAAGAAAAAGAAGGAAGTAAAAGGGTAAATCTACAGGCAAGGCTCAGGTGGAAAAAGAGATCCTAAATTATCTTACCGGGTCGAGTGAAACCTGGCAGGAAACTGGTGGCCAGACTGAGTATTAACAGGTAGAGATCGCGCCAAACAATATGGCGTCGTACGCGGTTTTAAAACCACACATTTTTTTCGTGATTAGAAGATGAACCATTTACACTCTTGCAACAACGACAAAGTAAAGATAAAAATTCATCTGCCCCCGTTCAGATTGAATCTATTATTGTTCAGACCTGTGCTATTTTTTTTCTTAGTATAACAAGCGCTTATTAAGAAGATCCTATTTGATTAATAATTTTCACTCTCTTTAAGTCTGGATAATGAGTTAATAAAATTCAAAGTTTGCTTCAGTTATACACGACTTCCTTACCTCAAAGTTGCCATTAATGACTGTTAAAGCTCTCTATTATTTTTCAGTAAAGGTAGACTGGGGGCAGAGTATATCCCGAAAAACTCATATTTTGAACATCGACGTTGAAGAACGGAAGTAATTTGGTTTAAACATCGAAACCACAATATGAAACATGTAAATATGACTTACATTGGATCGACGAAGGCGTAAATCACCACATATCCTGCCCGACGAAAAGTCAATTCGACCTGTTCATGGACGACAAACATCAAACATCGTATTTTGCAGACTAAACTCTATCTCGATTTTAGCGAAAAAAAAAACTGCGCAGCAAAAATGTAACCGTTATGTCGTATGTTAGATTTCTTACCTTAAAAATAAAAAAGGGAAAAAAGCAATCCAAAAATTCCTTTTCGTTGTAGCGTAGGAAAATACTAGATGAATTTGACATCAATCTGTTATGCATACGTTATATCCTTGACGTTCTGATTTGAATATCTGACAGATGAACAGGTGGTTAATTAAGGAAGATAAAGGGCCTCTTCATTGTTCTGAGGGTGTTGGTCTTAAGGGGTCATGAGCAGAATAACTATTTCAGTGTTTAAGAGTTGGAGGTACGCCGTGGGTTGTGCATTTTGAAAAAAAAATCGTGTCCATGCTTGCACCCCTTACCGTCTTTGTTCCATTAAGGTCTGTGTTTCTCGTTTTGAGAAATTAAATCTTAAAAACCCTCAAGTTTGTCGAGACGTTTCACGAGCCTCTTCCTAGCTAATTAAGATTGAAAACCTCTTCAAACGTTTAACTAAAACGATGGAAAGGCTTTTGTACAGTAAGCCATTTGAAACAAAAGCCCTTGTAAAAAATCATGTTAAAATTGGTCTGTCCAACAAGGAAAATACCTCAGTCAAGTGGAGCGCTGTATGCCAAATGACCCGTAAAACATGTTACTGCTCTAACTTGGACAATTTTTTTTCCTTTCATTTGTATCCTCCCTTACTACTTCGTGACACAGCTTGTCATGAAATGAAAAACAAATTGAACGGTAGATGAAGTACAAGTTGCAAGATTTCGGAATCTGAAATGTTCATCGTAGATTAGAGCAAGAAAATAAATTATTTTAATGAGAGCACGATGTATAGCATAGGTAAGATTGCATGAAACAGTTCCTTGCAGTATTTTTATCCTACATAGATAAGAAAAAGCAAGATTGAAGAAATATCAGGGCTTTGTCAAACCTTGCTTTGATTATTCTTCATGTCACTTACCAAAATACATTATCATAAATTATGTTGATATGTTATTACGTATTGTCTTAACATAAAGCGTCATTAGAGCAAAGCTTTCACTGTTAAATAGCTAAACTTTAATTTGGGTATATGTCATCGCTAAATGTTATTGCGGGTGTCATCTGCAGACCAGTAATGTGGCTTAGTCATTGTTTAAATCCTAGAAGTAGGAAGCTTGAGCTTGAAAACTTGACCTTTATTTATATTTTTTTACTCATTAACGAGCGGTGCAAATTCAAATATACTCTCCGCTCTGAATGTAATTTTGGCATGATAGCATTTATAATCAAAGGAGTGGTAAGGTGATGTAATGAATACTTAAAAAGTAGAGGGATTAATTATGGTGTAAAGTTGCTTTGTGCACAAATATTTATTATACTTTTTTCTTTCAAAGGTCTTACAACCAGGCGACAATTTTTAAATTCTATATTTTGTAAAAACTGACTGCGAAAACTAGAAATACTGCCACTCATTTTTACATAAACATGGTCTGTATGGCGTTCACCGCCACTTCTTCAGCTTTCGCTGCAACTTTGATTGTCTTTAATGCCCATAGTGCTCTCTTGACTGAGATGTCCTGGGCCTTCTGAGCTAGTTCCGAGATCTCCAAGGATGAGCGCGCAGCTTGAGCTGCAGCAACAAGTGCGGTGGTCTGGGCCGAGGTTGCCTGCAACAGAGCTGTGTACGAGGCAATATTAGAAGAAATCCTTGCAATACATTAGTTACCAATTTGCACTGGCCGGATAGTCCATTATGATAAGGTCAACATTGTAAATCAAATCTGGTTCGGAGTTTTCTTCCTTTAACTCAGACAAGTCTAATATTGGTATGCTTCATTCACACACCTGCCTGGTGCACGAATTATACACGTTTTCACTTTTGCCTGGTTAACCTGTTGTTTCTTGTTAAGCCTGCGAAAACTAATTATTTACAAAATAAACTTGACATGTTTCACGATACAATTACATTACATGCGGTTTCTCACCTTCTCTTGTTAATGTCATGTCCTGCGATGTCAGTACTTTCTTGTGACTTATTTTATTCTTTTTCCCTCCTTTACCATAGAACTGCTCATAAAAATGGTCTGAGGTGGTTCAAAAGAACACAAAACAAAACGAAATGGAAAAAAAATAAAACGCTTGATCATCGGCTAATTTATTTGAGAAGGTGAGAAAAAAAAAATCAAAAAAAGAAAGACAAAATGGGTAAATCCATGCCTCGGGATAAAGTCAGCAGTATGCACTCAAAGGTTTAAAATGCTTCAGCCAATCCCGCTGAATCATAACTACTCCGCCCTAGACAAGCTTCCAATCCATCGCATTGTTATTCGACAGCCTTTCTTCAGGTTTCTCTGACACTATGTAATTGACATCTATTCATACTCTTGATTAGAAAAAGGCACTGAGATAGAAATGTCTTTTATTAAGAACACGACACCGTAACCTGGCCAGGGTTCGAGCTCAAACCTCTTAGTCGCAATTCCTGTGCTTTATTTACCAGGCCATCGAGTATTTCACTCTGGTATCATATGCGCATGTCTAGACCAAAAGCGACGAGAAACGAGGAAGAATCATCGTTCACGCGTAAGGCTCAAACATTGTTCAAGTCCTAAGCTACTAAGTGCTAAGGCTAAACGCTCTGAATTAAACAAAGATGCTCAAACTACCTTTTATGGCGTTAATCTTTTCATACTCTTGTCCGGGTGGAGGTCGAAAAAATGGCGACACTATAGCTCGGCCATCTATGTTTCAGAAAGCTCAAGTCAGTTGGGAAGAAAAAAAATTCCTTGCAGACTATGGGTTAAGGGATCAGAGAATTTTCGCTGCAATATATGTAACAGAGGGAAGGATATCTATTCGTGTAATATGCGTAAAAGAATGGTTTTACATGCACTTCTTTTATTTAGTCGATTGAGATTTAAAAAAACTCTGACTTTAGAATGAGAAATTAGAACCGAAGTTTCACATTCTTTTATTAGTATGTAGGACTACAGCGATTGCTGATCTCAAAACTAAACTCAGCTCTCTCTCAAATCTCCACAGAAATTTTGAGAAGAGCTTTCTGAAACTCAGCATTAATTATTTTATAACCACATACATATGCATACGTGTTTTAAAAAGCGCATTTTGATTGAGTGTTGTTAAAACGAAAGTGATCATAACAGCCAATCAAAAGAAAGCAAAATAACACGAGAAGATAGTGAAAACTCAATGTAAAAATAAGCAAACTGGCTAAGCGTGAGAAAACGCGATTGATTAAATTGCGATTATTTTTGTCTTGGAGTTCTTACTGTCGAGAAATTGAAGCGACTAGTCTCACAGCAAAGTAAAGCCAAACCAATGCAATCCAGGGTCACTTTTATGCAAAAAATCAAGATTGCACTTTAGGTGAAAACTTATTACCTGCAATGTCTTCTAGCAGCAGGAAAAGGAGAAGGGAAGGCAGCAATAACGGTGCACTCAATTTTGTTCCGATCATCTCAAGCTCAGGCTTCTGTAAGATGATATGCATGGAGATTAGTAACACTTGCATCCCAGCAAAACATAGAGAAAGGTTGATCATTACTGATTTATACTCTTCTGATATTCTGATACAAATTCTGCTTTATAATTGATTGAGGTATTCGCCCACAGGTCTATCAACTTATAGACCTGCAAGAAGGAACAGATAGGGTCTTTGCCGGTAAATAATTGATAAAAGGAGACGTAATCGTCCCACCAGGGTGAATAGGGATAGCGAAATTCATGCGATGCAAATTTGTCTTGAGAAAAATCCAATTTTCACTTTAAAGGTGTCCGCGTCCGCTAACGAGTTAATGTTTTCTTACGGGAGTTCACGGATTTAACTGGGAGGCAAAATCAAAACTGGAATTGATAAAGTGTCTGCAAGAAGAAGTGTCCGCTTACGAGAGTGTCCGTTAGCGGAAACTCTCTCTCTCGAGAGATTCAGAGAGTTGACTGTATCCGACTTATGCATGTGAAATTGAAGCACTTAGAGCCAACACGTACTCCAAGGGTCATTGTTAAACAGTGCGCTGAATAACTATGGCTATAACAGTGTCTTTCGATTCCACACATTAAATATGAATTCCTCAAGGTAACTGGAAAGTTATTATTTAGGACAATGTCACGACAGACAAGACGTTTCCCAAAGCTCATGTCAACATCTGAATAAAGTGGGTAGTTTGTTAAAAAAAAACAAAAAACAAAAAACTGTCGTTCTGCGTCGGTGGGAGGTTATTACAAGATAATCTGGCTTTATCAATTGTATTGATAGTATGAAGTATCAGTTTTATAATTTCTATACGGCAACCGTATAGAAATTATAAAACTGACGTTTTTGAGCGTTAGCTCGTCGTTAGAGCGAATAACGAAGGGCTAGCTTTATAACCTTTCCACAGTGGCCGATTCAAAGTATCAACTCAGTTGATAAAACCAAATTACTGTTATGTCAATATTGCCGGTGCCAAGCTCTCGTCGCCTGAGGTTTTCCTTCGTGTTTACATACTGTCACTCTAAAAATGCATCCTTATTAACTCTGCAAAATTGAAGCTTAAATTTAAAATCGTTTGAAAACCAGAAATATTTCGAAAAGGAATCTGTTAACTTTAACAAAGGAAATCAAAGGGAGAAAGTTGAGGTAAACGAAGATCTTTCAAATATATGTTTCAAACTTGTTTTTTACCGCATCAAAGGCAATTCTAATTTCTGAACTTTACTTAAAATGTGCTTGACAAATTTAGATGGCTCATTTCACAAGGGAACGAGTAACACACTATTGTATCTTGGAAACTAAGCTCTCTCCCTTTAAAAGCAAAGAAACTGGTTCATAACTTAACAACCTGCGCTGTTTAAATATTGTAGAAAGATTTCAAGCGTTCCTAAAAATGCGATTTGTAAAATTCATGTTGCACTCATGTTACTGGATCAAATTTGAAGCAGAGTGGTCCTTACCTCAAATCATTTTCCCAATGAGCCGTTCATCCAAATAAGACCTTTCTATTATAATAAGTCACACGGCGCTTGAAATTACACTTCCGTGGGAACTGAAGTGATGCGACCTGCGCCTTTCGAACTGCGATTCGATATCAGTGTGGTTGTTGACATTTTATTCAACTGGTGACAAGGTCTTCAAAAGGATGACAAACAACAAAGACAACAAGCGAGGGTTTGCCGAGAGAAAAACCCGTTATTGATCTTGCATGAACATACAAATGGAACAAAGTTTAAAGGCACGATGACCATTTCAAAGAATCGACGGACTTCTTCAGAGGCTCAAAAAGATCTGCCACGGTCCTTTCGCTATTAAGATGGCAGAGCGCGCCAAAACGCACCAATGAAAGCAAACAACGTGCTATATAAAGCGACCTCGTCACCTAACGAAGACTAGCAGTCTAACAGTCGAAACGTCGTGATCAGTACAACTGATAGCCCGAATGTAAACCGTGAGGAAAATGATGGAACGTTCATTTAAACATTTAAACTTTCCTCTCGCTGTATATTCTCGTTCCCGAAGAGAACTTGAAGGCTGAAAATGATATTCATGGCAGGATTATTTTGTCTATGTACAACTCTGTTTACTTCACAATGTCCTTAGAATGCATTTTCATGAATTCTGGTTTATCTGTTAATTAACGATCTGATAAGGCTTATTTAGCCACTTGAGCCTCAGACCACACAACCTGGCATTCTTACCAAAGAAACGAGCCTGCTGCACAATGCAAGAAAAAGTGTAGGTTATAACAGACGAAAATAAATGCGCTGACATCAGTCTCAGATGCTACTACAAAAATATTCTCGCTGGTATCTTTTTTTTCTTTTCCATTTTTTATTTTAAGTATACATATATATTTTTGTTTTCTTTTCCCTTTTCCCAGGGCTTTAAAAAAAAAAAGGATAATTACCCTGCTCCATCTCATGAAAATGAGAGAGCCAAGACGTTATCAAAATGAAAAACTAATAAAAGGGAAAATAGTTCCAGTCTTTGTCTTGAACGGAATCTTTTGTTCACTGAACCACTTCATTCATTTAATCAGCTTTAGATTTGTGGATTGAGCCAAGAAACACTCTCTCTTTTAGTCACGCTTTTTTTTCATTATTATCCGCAATAACCTTTACCTTATGAATTTTTCAGGACTTATGACAGAAGACAGATGAATGGAGCAAATAAGTCATAATTCGTAATCATGTATTCTTTTCATGCCATAATTACTCACGAAAGTATTCATAACCAAAAAAAACAGCATTTAGAGAATTGCAAATTTTCCTTGAAACTGAATTATTCAACTGATCAGCAGAGTTTGGAAAGTAAATATATATAGCAGAAATGTTCTGATACGTACTAAAGTCCGTTTTTATGCTGTATTGCTTAAGTTCTTTCATTTGTAATGGTTTGTTTTATATGTTTCGTGGATTGTTAGATCTGCTGGCGAATAATTTTTTCCCTTTTGCAAACACTTTATTAAAAAGGGAAAATTTTTTCTAGAATAACGACTTCCACAATGAATAATTTTCTTATGAAATCTTTCATTTATCCCCCATAATATTTGAGGAACAATGCAAACGCTTATGGAGGATCACACATTATAACAAAAAAGAAAAAAAACTAACCAAAAGATGGATAGGGGAAATTTCCGAGGATGATAATTTTAAGTGCGTCTTCCCACCAATTTTGACCGGTCGTTTGTTGAATGCTACTTCTTCCAACAATTTTTTTCATGCCCCAGATTGATTGAGTATATACCTTTATCAAAATGGGAGCCATGTTGAAAAGGATGCAGCATTATGAACAATTAAGATTTCCCTGAATGATCATATCTCTTCTTTCTTCTCTGAGTCAGGAGATTTGTTAGCATTCCTTCCTTATTGAAAATATCATTAAATATTTGAAAGGTTTCTTGAACATATTCAGTTGTAAAATACTTG